TGGGATAAATCTGCTTCATAACTTTTTATGTGTGGCTAGTTAATGATTTTTCTATTTTTTCATGTCAAAAAAGTATCGGTTGTTAGTTTACCCTGTGTTTTTTTCTGACTACTGAACATTTTTTTGCAAAATTGTGAACCCAAAGAAGAAATGCATTTTGTTTCTTGGAGAAGCATCAGAAGGAGAATTGGATTGTCTATGGTGCTTGAGGGTAGTCTTTATGAGAATCACAGCTCAGGACATAAAATACATGATATAGTAAAAATGATACATGATACATTTAAAATAGTCATGTTTTAAAATGTTGCCCTCTAGTATTAAAAGTTTTCCTCATCTTGTTTTTGGTATTTTTAATGACAGGCAAGTCTAAGAGAAATGCAGATGTTGGCAGTGAGCTGAATTGGTGTATGACTTGGGGTTGTGGGGGTGTGTGTTCATGCGTGTGTAAGCATCTTCAAATCTCTGTCACTTCACATAAGAAGCCAGGCCACAAGGAAATGGAATCACTCTAGGAAATTTTAAGCATTTTATGTTTTTTCTTTCTTTTCTTTTTGCAGTACTGGGGATGAAATCCAGAGAATCCAATAGGCTAAGCTCCTCACTTACTAGGGGGTAGCCCAAACTCTCTTCTGTATTATTATTTTTTTGAGGCACTATAAAACTAGCTTCAGTAGATTTCTGAAATGTTCTTGGGTGCTAACTTGTGTCACTAAAAACAAATCAGTAAAATCTTCTAAAGTCCTCCCTTTTCAATTCATTTTCTTTTAGTCTCAGACCAGTGTCCTGGAGGGAGTCTCTTGTCATGATTTGCAGAAATTTGGCAGCCTCATGTCTGCTATGATCACCAAGTCCTGGCCCAGGAACAACAGAGAGGCTGTTGAAGGCCTGGATGAGATTCTTGAACACCTGCTCATGGGGCCAGATATGAAGCAGCTCTTCAAGTTGTACAGTGTGTATACGGCTGGTTGGGGTTGCTGTCCTTCCTCAGGCAGAACATGGCAAGGTACTTGACCTGATCCTCAGCCTGCATGTGCTGAGATTTGGTAAAGGCAGGAGGACAGAGGTGCCCAGGCAGGTGCTAGGCATCTCGTGTAATTAAGAACATCTAACAGCAGAACCAGAGTCTGCTGAATGCCTGCTGGACATGTGCTCCTGGGGGGACACACTTGAAAAAGCCCCTCTGAAAAGTCCCCAAGCCCCTTGATTTCCAGATGAGAGAATAGAAGTGCCCAGGACACGTTGCTTACCCAGGGTGTTGAAGACTTACTGTCTCCAAGATAACAAATGATTAGAAATCAAGTCCAAGCCCAGCTTGCCTCCCTGTGAAGCTCACATTTTGAGACCAATATTGATAACTAACAAAACATGAAGTGACTCTTCAGC